AGTAACCTAGGTAAGAACGTCTTGGTGGTGCCCTTGATATAGACATGCTGTTACCTAGAACTTCTTAATATCAAATTTCAGGAACTCTAGATATATAAGGACAGCAGCAATGCCAAGGACCATGTAAAAGGCAAGGCTGGGAACAGGTGCTAGGGCAAAGGGGTTCATTCATGGCCTAACCTCCATCAGCTTGTCATACATGCCCCTGATTCATACTTTGTAATGGTATAGTAAGAATGTCACTAAACTTGCCAGGACCTCTTGGCTAATATTTTATTTAGGTATTTAGTTCCTAGTGTCCATTTCATTTCCACCATCATGTCTTCAACCTCCCCATCCCACTCTATACTCCTAGATTCTCAGCGCCTTGTAAGGAGTGTAAGTGGTATTATTCAATACCAGTGACCTTGGTCCTTGCTAGATGTAGTGACATAAGGTCTCTCAACCCATATCTATTTATCGCTGCTGCCCTTATTGCTGCTGCCCAATCATAAGCTAGATCTTGCTGAAACTGGCGGTATTATAGGAGACATAGATACTCTATAAGTTATCTTATAGGTGGCTCCTAATACTAGCATTCCTATAGCTAATATATTCTATTCTATACTAGGTATATGCTCTTTTAGACGGCTACCTGGATAACGAGAATATTATTATTTACAAAGCCTACATTTCTTACACTTTCCTCTCTAAGTTTGGCTTTCCAGATACTCTTCTTGAATATGCCCAAATCCCATCGGCCACACCAGAATCCTTGATCATTCAGCATAAACTTATCCCATATAAGCCATGCTCAATGCTTAAGGATCACCTCCTTAATGCTATAGGTATAGTTAACTCTTAGGACCCCTATGATTTGCCAGATAGTCTCACTGAGGAATTAGGCCTGACAGCTTATCTGGCTAATAGGTGAAGGAATAATATAGTAGAGGACATAATGATAAGATTCATGTTAGAGGATAGAAGTCATAGTATGACTGACCACTATTACATACTTATATATAAGACAATGATCACTAGAGTACTAAGCTACACTGACCCATTCTCCTATACCCTATCCTCCATAAACCATACTGATAATACAGGTATGGCACTTCCATTATACCTTGACCATGTAGGTCCCTTCACAATGCCCTTGGGGCCCTGGTGAGCCTGGTGTCGCTACTGTCCATGTGTCTTGAGGCGCATGGGTGCGTAGTAGGTTATGCACTGACATGCCAGACTCTAATCACTACCTTGCCGCCCTATGCCTGTTCCAGGCATGGGCTCATAGACAGGTTTGGTCATTGGTCTTAAGCTGGTTTGCCTGATATGATTTCTATAGCAAAGCAAGGAGCTATGGCTGCACCAACAAGGCATTTCCTAAGGTCACCCAGGACCCCAACAAAGCCCCCAACTATCAGCTGGACCATGGTAGCAAAGAAAAGGAAGCCTCCCCCTAACACTGACCCCCTCTGCTTAGGTCCTAAGGCAGGCCCTGATAGAACCCCAAATGCAGATAAGCCTAACCCCCCTGACCTACCGCCATAGGTATTCATCCACCTTGCCCTCAACACCCAAGTCCTACATAGTACCAGGACGGCCCTTGACGGCCTCCCTATACCTTTACCCATGCCCTACTAGTTAAGAATAGGTGGTCCTTAATACTCTCTAAAAAGCATAGATGCCTGTCCCAAAGGTCTTAGCTACTACCTAGGAGGTCCCCAGGTATGCCTACCTGGTACAAGGCGGCAACCTACCTATGGCCCTAATTGTCACTAGGGAGGTAGAGACTGCCACCCATACCATGCCAGGTCAGCCACTACAATAAGACCACATGGGTCATCAAAGCAACTCAAGGACAAAGCCCCTAAGGTCTTTGGGTGTTAAAGGTTTATATAAGCTCAATGAATTTACAGGCGACTACTCACAACCTGCTTGGCAAGATTACTGATAATTACCTATACCCAATGTCTAGTTTACACTAGCTCCTTGATCCTTAAGAAGTATAGCATAGCTACCAAAGATAATATGATGTTTAGTAAGATGTCTATCATGATAGTTAGAGTACAAATCCCCTTCCTCTTTCTTCTCTTTACTATAATAACTAACAAACCCATAGCCAACTACTGCTTGATAACCACCCTATGCTACTATCTAATCTACTTTCCCTAGCCCTAAAGCAGATCTTTTACCATCTGACCTATAAAACAAGAACCAGCTACTAGACCTGCCTGTCCATGCTTGCTGCCGCCAGAGGAAGTCATTAATGTAAAGGGACATAATTGGTTAAAGCAACACTCCCACTACTTTCCTCCTAAACCCCTATCACTACTTTACAAGAGCCTTGTCATTTCATAATTGGAGCCTTAGGCAGTATAGAAGAAGTTCTCCCTACAATCCAGTAACAGACCTACCATATCATAATACCTAGCTTGACCTTCCCCCTCTTCTAAACAGCCCTGTCTAGCCCCTCTTTGTTGTTTCTATAGGTTGCAGCTTGCCTTTCTAGCTTTGAGGGATGTGTTCTAACCATTATAACTGCCAGGGGGGTGGGGGGGCTGCCAGTCTGATGCCTAGCATGACCAGCAGTACCATCAAGATCAGATAATGACTCCCACCACCTATACTCACCATGCTATGGCATGTTTAGGGGCACTGTCAGGGGCCAGATACACTGCCCCTGGTCTGTCAGGCACTACCAGAGCCTTGAGGTTAGTATAGTGGATCTTATAGGCTAGTCAAGGGTCCACCTGTATCCTCTTAAAGTAGCAGGTTAGTTTGCCAGGTAGATGCTGCTTGCCATATGCCTGATGAAGATACTGTCTGAAACAAAGCTAGCTAGTCATCTATGTTGCTGATGAGTGCCTGTATATGCTCCTCATGGCCGCCACTTTAGCCCCTATCAAGACACTAGCTGTTGATATCTTGCGCCGCATCCTCCTATACCAAGGTGCCTTCTATTGATTAGTAGGCCCTTTATGCCTAGGAGAATACCATTCTCTGATTTGGTGCCTGAAGAGCTGTAAGAGGCTATAGTAATGCTGCATGGCATGTTAGTGAGATTGGTATGAGTATATTGTATATGGCGTTACCTTCTGGGTCATGCTGTGTCAGGTCATATAAGAGTATCTGTTTATTAAATTCCTTAAGTTATGGTATGCTGGGATAACCTGGCGTTTTAAGATAAGTGCTTATACTATGATGCCTTTATGATCTAAGGGATGATATTATTGGTTAGCCTAGTAGTTAAGAAAAGAAGGGGAAGGGGGATGGTGGGTATAGGTAGGCATGTGAGTAGGGTAAACAGAGGCTTAATAGCATTGGTGATGGAGGGTATATATGTACTTAAGATGGTGATGGCTGACCTGCTTGTCCAATCCCAATGAATTCCTTCGTCAAGCTAGATAAGGTGGAGTCCAGCTATGACCAGTCTGTCATGGTTATGGTAGAGGCAACCAAGACATAGCCACCTTCTGTTTGGGGAGACTACTGCTGTATAGCTTTGGAGGAATGGTTAGGATAGGGCAGTTGGGAATCTTAAGGACAGGAGATATAGGTGTTGATGGAATTGAATAAGGTGTAGAATGTATCAAGCCCTTCCCAAATAGGACTGTTCTTGATGATTAGTATGGAATACCAGTCATTGCCTAATTGTAGAAGGTCATGCCTTGTAGTGGCTTTGATGTAGGTGGGAAGGGTAAGGGTTTAGATTGCCTGGCGTGAGATCTTGTCATGACTAGATCATGGCAGAATTATTAAGGCGGTGTGGATAATTATGGGTCTCTGCCTGTGGTATTTGCTGATGGCCTCCCTGCCCTTGTCGCCATGACTGAGGCATAGATGAAGCCCTGTGCCTGATGCTATCTAGTGTAGTAGAGGCCATGGTCTAGTAGCTGTGGAAGGAGGGTGGGTTTATAGCTTCTTTTGATAAGTAGATTAATCTAATAAAAATGGTTATGGTAAGAAGACATGGTGTACTGGGAGACTATGGATACTTGAACTGCCTATGAGAATTTATCACTCCAAAGAGTATGCCTGGTGGATGTATATTATCAGTTATATCTTATGTTCTTATTGGGTCTATATGTATATGGTAGTTGATTGTGGCTGGTATGTATTATGGAAATGTTTAGGTCAATTTGAGGTGTGCTGAATCGGGTATGACACTGGCAAAGTGAGTGTTTTGGTATTGTGGCCGCCCCTGTGTGCCTGCCCACTGTGCCCACTGCGCCGTGCCCACCCTAAAATGTGGTGATAATTGGCCTTGGTGTTTTGCCCTCCCTGCCTGCAGACTGCTGTCATATGACCTCTAAAACTCGTAAAACGCACCCACTCATGTGATCTGGAGTGTTTTGAAAAAAACTGGACATGATAGTTGAGGGCTAAATCTTCCAAATCTAGAGTCTTTTCAATCTAATGTTTAATTTGATTACTTATATAACATGGATGTGTTTTGTGAGTTTTGGAGGTCATGTGATGGCAGTCTGTGGGTAGGGAGGGTAAAATACCAAGGCTAACTATTACTACTTTTTGGGGTGTATGGGCGTAGTGGGTGTAGTAGGCAGGTATGTAAGGGCCATAACACCAAGAAAAAACTCATCAGGCAAGGGCTTTTTTCTTGGTCTCCTCCCAAGACAGGGCCTCTAGAAAGCCAAAGTTGGAAAGTCAATCCTGGGTGCCTGTTCTCTGCCTGGTTACCTTCTGCTTGAGGATTAAAAAACTTGCTAAGTCCCACTTGTCGCCAGAATCCAGTAAGCACTAAATGGCAATGGTGATTTGGGTAGTGATGTTTAAACTTTGTAGCTCTTGCTTGGAGGTTAGGCTGTGGTGGGCAGTTATGTCTAGAGCCGTCGAAGGCAGTTTATACTAGGCTTTCCTTTAGTAAATAGGGGTTATGAAGCTAAAAGTGCAAAAAGAGTGACCAAAGCCTTTAAGGGCCGTGGTACTGGAAGACTCTCCTAGTCCTGGAGAACTGAGAAATTCTCATAGCACCAGAGCCCTGAAAGACTTTGGCCAGATGCCCCTGGAAGGAATTGAACCCTTAACCTTTCCATAATGAAGTGGAATGTACTACCATTATGCCACAGGAGCTGTTGTTGAAAGAAGGATTGTGATTTAGAATAATAAGGTTTAGACCTAAGCTCTGTTGGATCTGAGGGGGTGTGTTAGAAATGCTTGTTGCTTCCTTGAGCCTTATGTTGTTGTGATCTTAATTGTGATGAGGCTTCTGGTGTTCTTGGGGGCTTGAGAGGTTGAATCTTGTAAGGTTGTGACTTTTTGTGCTTTTGAGGCTTGTGGAAGTTTTGGGGTTTCTAGATCTTGAGATTTTTTTGGGAGTAGAGTTTTCTGTAATTTACTTGTCATGGGATCTTGAAATCTTTGAGTTTGAAATTATGGCAGTTATGATAGATCTTAATGGAGTAGAGAGGAATGATGTTGTGACCTCTATGGTCAAAAAGTGGATGAAAGAGTTGGTTAGCCTATAGATGGGTTAAAAATCAATTAATTTTTTAAAAATTTCAATTTTCTAAACTAAATAAACAAACCTAATGTATCATATGTCATCCTCCTGTCCTAGACATTGTAACCTAAACTCCTTATGCTGTCGATGTCCTAAGATTCTATTCTCCTGACCCCATGACCTTTGTCACTGCTCATTTTAGCTATGTTAATTCTTTAATCCATAGTTGTCTATCTTGTCCATGATGATATACTCTACATAGGCTTTGTCCTTGGCCTTGGTGTTTAAGTAAACTCTACTGAAGAAATAGAATGTTAGAGCTGTTATGTATAAGTGATATCTATTACCTAAACCCTTATTTTGTCCTGTTATTGTGATGATGAGTATGTCAAGAATTTGCTCTGGTAGTCTTGAATATGGGGCTTTCTAGAATTTGTTGAAGATATGTCCCTTTGGGAAGCTGGTGGTGTCTTGTTCTTTGCCTAGGATATGGATTGTAACCTTACTGGGCTTATCTTACTCTAACTTGACCCTTTGAAATAATATCAAGGTGTTGCTCTTGAGCCAGGTATCAAGGATGTTCTTCTACTTGAGGTAAAAGCTGACTTTTATGGCTCTATTATCAATGTTCTTACTGGCAAGGTCCTCTATGCTTATGATTAGGTCATGCTTGTAGGTAAGGTTCTTAAGGGTCATGCCCTTGAGCTGCTGGTTTAAGAGAGGTAAGGACATTTTGCTTGGATATATGATTCTAAGTTTCTAAAGCTGGAGCCTAGTAAGAGTTAGTATTAATACATCATGAAAATATATAAAGAAGAAAGACTTATAAGGTCTTGGGTTCTTGGATGTTGAATGGATAGGCTTGACCTTTATTAAAGGTTGACCTAGGTTTTGATGAATAAGATCTAGGATAAGGTATTAGCCATAATGTATTTAGTATTTTAAATAAGAAGGTTAGCTTATAAGGGCTTATTGGTTTGAAAGGTTATGATGAAGAACTTGACCAAGGTCAAAGGATGATTCAGGATCTAGAGAATGGAGACCATGAGAAGGAGTCAGAGCCAATATATAGTATAAATGTTCTGGGAGAAGATTGACCTAGGGAATTTATAGCTTTGGGATATAATAGATAGACTTAGATAGTACCAGAACTGCTTAATGTTATGGGAAAGGAAGAATGGGATATGTGTGTTGGTGGATAGGGAAGTTGAGAAGAAGAGACGGGATATATACCTTAAGTTGAGAATCTTAAAGAGTGGAAACTAGTGGTTGTGTTTTTAAGAGGAAGTTTGATAAGAGGAAGCCGGTAGGGGTATGGTGGTTGGAGAGGGGAGTTTGTAGGTAAGACTTGGTTTATAGAGGGAGATGATTTTCAAGAGGGAGAAAATTCTAGGAAGACTTGGAGGAGAAAGGAATAAGGACTGTGATTTGAATATGGCTTATTTAAAGAAGAAAATTTTTGCTGTGGAAAATGGAAAGGGCAACCTTAAGGTTCAGGATTTAAAGACTAAGATCCTATTTATTATTAAAACTTTTCTAAAACCATATATCCTTAGGATACATTTAAAACCATTCTCTATGGGAAGGCTCTATGCAAGGAGTCCTGTCCTTATTGGTTCTGCTGGGGTGCCTTCCTAGGTGGCTCTTATGGCAAAATCTCCTCTTTGCTTATTATTGTTATAGTGAAAGACATCACCATTTCAGCATGATTCAGGGCACTGTACATAGAGGTTACAGGTACATAGGGAGATGCCTATTGCAAATGGAGAAGGCTGGTTCAGATAGGTAAGTTGCCATACCAGTTCTATAAACTGGCATATGGTGGTCAAGGAGGATATATGTCCATGGAAGAGGTTACCTAACCAAATCCTATATTTAACTGGGCTTCCCTAGCCTTTCTCTAGTTTAGATTCTATCAAGGCATTTACTATATATTCTACTTCCCAAGCTCCCATTTCCACATAATAGTTCATGGAATGATACTGTTTAGAGAACTCTAGGGTGTCGAGCCTATTTGCTAAAGCTTGGCCACAAAGCATAGCTATTGCTACTGCTAGGGTTGGAGGAGATCATGGCACTTTCTATAGGTCTGGTGATTGACCTTAGGGTAAGAAGTTGCTATCAAGGCTCTAGTAACTAGTTTGTGGATTAAATGCCTTGATTTAACTGTGTTGCTGTAAGTCATAGTGGGCGGGGGCCTTCTGGGAAGAATTGATCTTGACTAGTATCTTCATGTTACTTTGGCTAATTGGGTATGGGGTAGAGTTCCTAGTTAAGCTGACTTGAGGTTTTTTAACTAGGTATGAGTTTGGTAACTTGTTAGGGGAGCTGTTTTAGTTGGAGGTGGAATGATTATCCCTACCAAAAAAGACAATATTAGATGCCTATCTTCTTAATGATAGCCAAGTCCCATATCATTTCTCTAGGAGGTTGGTTATGATATAAGGAATGATCTCTAGATATTATAGTTGTCAGTGCCTAGGCTTTTTGGATATTTATTGACCATATATATTTAGGCATCACCCAGCTTATATTAGATAGACCGCTTTATCAAGAGCAGTAACACTCCATAGGCCACCCTTATCATTATGTTTATATGCTTTGTTTATAGTGGGTAGGTTCCTCCTCTCAAAGAGCAGCTTATAGCTAACCTTGTCAAAGAGGTTGAAGAGGTCAAAGGCAGCTGAGGTAGTGTATCCTGCCATTGTTGTCTTGTAGGCATGGCATGGATTAGTAAGGCGATGTTATATTGGTAGGAATTGATGGACTCTTAGGTGGCCTTTGTGGTGGTGTGGCAGCTAATGTCATTGAGTGCCCTGGCCATGCTCTCACTAATGGCGAAGTTGTAGTAGTGGCTATCTTATAGAGGTTTAGGGGGGATGGTCTGTCAGGGCGCTTTGGTGGTGTTTTAATATGAGGTTATAGGAGGGGGTGTTGGTTCTTCTTGGAAGGGAAGTTTGGAAGATTACTAATGTACTTGTTGCTGTTGTCAGGAGCTGTGAGGGGGGTTTTAATGATAAATCTTAAGTTATGGGCCTGAGAGGCTTGGAAGGGCATAAGAAAGAATATAAGAGGAGTTGAGCTATGAAAAAGAGGGAGTGGTACCCTGTTTATAAAGAGCCTGTTAGGAATATTATAATGGTATGACCAGGCTATGATAGTTGTGTGCCAGTAAGGGTCATGATACATTCAACTAGCAATAGCAGTTGTAAAGTACCTATAGTTCATGTCCATAAACAAAAACCCCAATACCATACCATCAAGCCAAACAAGTCTTCTATACTAGTTAAAACCAAGGCTCCTAGCAGACTACTTAAGACAACTATATCACCTACCTATAGGCCTAGATTTAAGACCTCAAGGACAAGGCTTGATACTAAGGTATTCTATTGGCTATGGTATTTTATCCCTGAGTATATTATAACCATATGCCATGACTTGGTGTATATGGGAGTGTTGATGCTGAATGTACTGTTCTTCTTGGCATAGTAATGGTAATATGCTTAAGTATCCTAGCCTTAGGTATAGAATTGAACTTTACTCTTAATAAATGCTATGATGATGGTTTCTAGATACCTTATTCTATTCTCATTTAATGTTACTAATATTACCCTTGAGTTCTACTCATAGTTCCAACTACCCTAGAATAGGAGGCTCCTCTGGCTCTTGCTTGATTAAGATACTGGGTTAGGCGCCCTTAATGAACTTCTTCTTCTAGTTAGTACTAGGGTAGTAACCACCTTACTTTTTATACTATGAGACCATCTGCTTGTCTAGGGTAAAGGGGGTGGCCTTGGGGCACTTGCCTGTTGAGAAACATATTAGTTATAGTGTTTCAAAGCCTGGGTAATAGTATGATGTAAGAGTTAATTATATACCATAAGTCTTTGTTATGTTAGGCAAAGCCGGTATAAGGAACCTAGAGGATATGATCATGTTGGATGGTAACTTGCCTAAAAGCCCTTACTGCTTAGACTTGTTACTACTAATGGTTATTTGTAATATCAATCTGTCCATGCTATCAGGTAATGTTTGGGTTTAGTTAGGGCAGGGGGTAAGCTGTTAGTGGGCAGAGGGCGGCCTGTCAAGTCCACTGGTTGATACTAGTAGTAGGCTGGCCTGTAGTAATGCTGCTTGATATAGTGTCAGGGTATGTCAGAGCCACTAGGGCTCTTGTTATTCTTGTATTATAAAGAGATGGTGTATGGTCAGTCAATGTTAAAAAGAAGAGAGAGGGGGAGGATATACTCTAACTGTTATAAAAGTAGCCAAATCATAGTTATAGAAAGCCATGCCCAGAGGTTTCTTATGGCTATTATAATTGGTGTGAAAGGTGTTGGAAGAAAGGGTTGATGTTTTTCTTGGCTTGCTGATTGTTTATAATATATGTAATGTAATTAAGGAATGTATGGCTCTGATATTATGGTTGGTAAGATGGGACCTTATATTCCACTCTGTATTGACATGAATGAGTTCTGCCATGTCTTACCGCCCTGGTCAATCTCCTTGACTAATAAGCCTGCCTATGAGCCTGCCATTAAATAAAGCAAAGTACTGCCTTTAAGACTTAGTGGCAAGATAAAGAAGCATAACACTATATCCACCTGAATAGACCATGTCCAATCCCACT